AGGAACTGGATGTGCTGTGTATCCCAGGCAACCTCAATTAGTCTCAGCTGGTATGTGGTCATCATGTGTCTTGCTGAGGAGAGAGTGAGCAAGCGGGCAAGCAAAAATGAAAAGAAAAGAGAGCGAGAGCAAAAAATGCTAAAAAAAAATTTATGGAAAAGAGGAGTGGAAGACGGCAGATAAGGCCTGAGAGAGAGAGAGAGAGAGAGAGAAGATGAGCAGTAAAGTCAGAGGTTGAATGTTAGCAGAAAGCAGAAGAAGGTGGAGAAAGGGAGAGAGGGATGATTGGATCAGGGAGGGGAGAGATGAAAGGGGAGAGTGGTGCAGTGGGTGAGTCAGAAGGCAATGAGAGTGATTGGGAACTAGCATTCTGCTTATTGCATGCCATGAAGAATAAAGTCAGCAACCAGTCTGCAGGCCCCCCCCCCCCCTCTTTCTCTCTTTCTCTCTCTTTCTCTCTCTCTCTGTGACAATGTGTGTGTGTGTGTGTGTGTGTGTGTGTGTGTGTGTGTGTGCACTGCAGAAAAAGCTGTTAAGCAATAACCACACAGACAGAGCTAACTAAATTATTATTTCCAAAAAGACAAGACTACACTTGCTGCTAGACAGACAGACACACACACACACACACACACACACGCTCACACTTACACTCCATGTTTCGCAGTACAAAGAAATCATGTCTGCATACATGCATGCTCTCAGATGCAAACACACACACAAAAACTTACATTGACTAGTGTCTTGATGACAGAAGGGGGTCCAAGAACACAGACGGCCCGTGGGTGAAATGACGCACAAGCGCTCACACACACACACACACACACACACATGCTCAAACACATAAATCTAAATATAAACATGTATGAAGATTGTTTCTCAGAATTGTCACATAACTGTCTGTGGAGTGATAGAAAGGCAAAGACAAATGAGTGAGTGTGTGTGTATGGATGTGATTGTCACAGCTTTTGCCAGCACGTGTGTGTTAGACAGCTACTGAAGGTGTTGATTGGGCAATGTGTGTCTTTCAATCCCTGCAGCATTTGTCGTTCACCTCCTGCCCTCTCTTTCTCGCTTTCTGTGTCTTTCCCTCTTCCCCCGTCTGTCAGTCAAACAGAGGTGTCAGTCAAGCCTTGACTTTCAAAATGTATTTGTTTTTTTGTGGGGGTTTTTTTCTGAAGATGTGTTTTCGGTTCCAAAATGTTTTTTCTGAGGTATTTTTGTACATTTTAGCCACTTACTATTAAATATAATACACAAGTCTCTGGTAAATCTTTGGCTTTGGTGCTCCATGCTAACACTTTTAAACACTTCTTTAATACGCAAAAATCTGTTATGATGCCTTTAACCTGTCATCACTCAAAATAGTCCTAATTTGCCAAATAATACTAATAGTTGGACACCTGGCTCCACATAATATTTACAGGCATAAGGCGTTTTGAACGTGTGTATTATTTTCTCATTGACGACTGGGCTTACTTCAGTAAAAACAAATATCTGGCACATGTGCCATGTGCTGCAGATCTAGAGGCCGTTTTAAAAGATTTTAGTGGATTGTGCAGCCTTGGTAAAGGTATGTACTCTCCAGGGGTCGCTTTCACACCTGTATATCAGTTTAATTTCCAGACCGAGGGGGAAGAACAAGAAGATCCCTTGTTTACTTCTAGTTCTGGTCTGTTTTAGGACGAGGTCGGTTTGAATAATTGTGCATCTATTATGTGTGTGTACCTAAAGAGAGATATTATATCAAGAAACGATTTATGTCTCAGTTACCACAGTGGATTCAGTGCAAACATGTAGAACAGCTCATATCATTATAAAGTACAGCCTATGTGCGTTTCTTTTTTTTTTTGCATCATCTTTTGTCACATGTGAAGAGAGCAGACCTAGAAGGGCCTGTAGCCCAAGATGAAGCAGCAGCTGAGCTTATCCTTTCTGGCTTGTGGCTTTGTCGAGAGAACATGTGCAGCTGGAATGAGGAGTAAGTGGAGGGGTGTTTGCTGAGTGGAGAAGGATGCCAAGGAACATGGTAAACCCTCCTCTTTTCTGCCATATTACTTGACTTAAAGGCTCAGTTTCCCAAAAAACACCAGATGAAAAGATTCTGGAGAGGCGTCAAGGATAGCCAGCCTAAACAGAAAACCTTCTGTTGGCCATCTTGTTCTCCCTAAAGAAAATACTTGGCACATTTTAAAAAAGGTGTGGAGGGGTACCCTTGGGTAAAATGAAATACAAATTAAATTTAGACTATTAAAAATAGTCTGAGCATTACATAAACATTAGTTCTATATGCCAGAGATCAAAGAAGAAACGTGTGTGTGTGTATGTGTGTGTGTGTGTGTGTGTTAGGGGCACCCCACTGCTCCCAAGTGTCATTTCCCTGCAGAGGTGAGAAGGGAAAAGGGGACAGGCCTGGAAGAGGGGAGGAGAGCAGGGAAGGGAGGCAGGGGAGGAGAGAGAAAAATCTGGTGTGAGAAAGAGGCATTAGGAATTATGATGTGTGCGTGAACGTCCTAATGAGTCACCATTAAATGAATGTTTTGTTCCAGCTATTAGTCACAATTAGTAACTGTGTGTGCATGTCTCGTACCGAGTGTGACAGTGTATTAGCTGTTGCTTCCAGGTGAGTATAGGTATATGTGTGTGTGTGTTTTTATGTTTTGTGCTTTGCTTTGTAGTGCCTCTGTTTGCTGACTTTTGTGTTGTGCAGTAGAGTAGTCCATTTTGTCTTCAGCCTCTTGCCCCATGGCATTGTAGGTAATATAACAGAAGGTGATGACACAGTCTGTCAGTATCTGTCATAACATAGTGTTTTGTCATAACCTCTGCTGGATATACGTAGTTCGCGCTGGTAAAGATCAATGTTCTTTTTTGTTTTTTTGTTTTTGAGGTCATATAACTTTCCTGACATTTGGCTTCAACCTTAAGCACTATCACTTCCGTTTAGGAGTATCTAGCCTTGTTTAGGCTTTTATTTGTCGCTAGTGAATGGTTTTGTTTATGGTGCTTCCGTCTTTGAAAATAACTGTGCAACATACAGCACTGTGCAAGAGTTTTAGGCAGGTATGGAAAGCATGCTGTAAAGTAAGAATGCTTTCAAAAATAGACTTCTTCATAGATTATACACTTAAGGAACAAAAATACTGGGACACCTACACATTACTTTTATGACTTCCCATTCTAAATCCATAGGCATTAATGTGAAAAACAACCCCTACCAAAAGTATTGGGACAGGAGTGTCCTGGTACTTTGTCCAGATTTTGTATCTATCAATTAACAAAATGAAAAGTCAATGACTTTTGAATTTTGAATTTATCAGATATTTGGTGTAACCATCCTTTGCCTTCAAAACAGCATAAATTTTTCTCGGAACACTTGCTGCTTCTCTCTCTTCATTTAATCCCAGACAGGCTCACTGATATTAAGTTCAGAGCTCTGTGGGGCCACACCATCACTTCCAGGCTGAAGATCATTCTTTATGACTTTTGCTGTATGTTTGGTGGTGTTGTCATGCTGCAGAATACATTTGGGGACAGTCTGATGCCTCCCTGATGGTACTGAACGGACCTGCCTGTACGTCTCAGCATTGAGGATAACATTAATTCTGACCAAATCCCTAACTCTGTTTGCAGAAATACAGTCCCACACATGCAAGGAACCTCCACCATGCTTCACTCCTTTGGCAAACAAAGTGCTTTCTGCTACAGCCAGATAATTCACAGTCCCTGTGTTTTCGTGCATAGTTGAGTCACTTCGCCTTGTTTCCATGTCGGAGGTATGGCTTTACAGCCCCAAGTCTTCCATGCTGGCCACTCTCCGGACAGTAGATAGGTGTACCAGTGTCCCACTGTTTTCTGCTGATGGCACTGCTGGACATCTTTAGCAAAGGGAAGTAAGCATGATCTTTCACCTGCTGCAGTAGGTTTTCTTGGCTGACAACTATGTCTACAGTCCTCAGCGTTGCCAATTTATTTGTGCTTCTTTTAAAGAGCTTGAACGGCACTTCTGAAAACCCCTCTCTGCCTTGAAATGTCTGCTTGGGAGAGACCTTGCTGATGCAGCATAACTACTTCCTCTTTAGCTGAGTTTGGCTGTTCCTCACCCAGTTGTATTCCTCTTGCAGCTGTTTCTGTATCAGTCAATGATTGTGTTTCAACCTGCATATTGAGTTGGTGATCATGAGCACCTGTTTGTTATAATTGTTTAATCATATACCTGACAATATCCCTACAGAATCCCTGACTTCGTGCAAATGTAAAAGAATTGATGCTGTTTTGAAGGCAAAGGGTGGTCACACCAAAAATTTATTTGATTTAGATTTTTCTTCTGTTCACTCACTTTGCATTTTGTTAATCGATAAATATAAACTCTGTTTTGAACGCATTCTTACCATACAGCATACATTTTTTCCATACCTGCCTAAAACTTGCACAGTACTATATGTCTCTAGCAACAATGTCCCAGTTTCTGTGAATTATCCGTAATCAACACTGTACTGTTGACGGCGTGAAACATTTCCCTTTAATTGATATCAGACATAGTTCTTTCCAGGAACCTTCCAGGAAATTATTAAAAGGAAAAGGCATTACCCAAATTGCCAAGCTCCTTCATTCCTAAAGTTTCTTTGTTTTCAGTGTCTGCGTGTCTGCACTTTAGATCGATCTCTTCGTTCATCCATCAGCACACATCAGACACCAATAAATATATCTGGGGGTAAATTATAGATTTCACCATTTTCAAAACTGCATTTAGTTACCTGTGGGGGTTACTTCTGCTACTGATAAACAAAGCAAAACAGGATTCAGGATTGAGTGGATTATTGGACAGACAGCAGAATTTCAAAAGCTGCAGAAACTGTTACTGGCAAATGTTGCCAAGGATTAAATACTGTTAGCATTTTTAAACCTCTGTCCCAATTTCTGGGTAAAGTAGTTTTAGTGCATATTCAGTGTTTTTGTGGTCGCTAACACATCATGTTGTGTTCCTGCCATCCGTCTAGTCTGCACGGTTCGCTGTCAGAAGTTCCTGATCTCGCGGGTCGGGGAGGACTGGATCTTCCTCATCCTGCTGGGACTCCTCATGGCCCTGGTCAGCTGGGTGATGGACTTCTGCATCGCCATCTGTCTACAAGGTGAGGCGCGAAGGGATAGAGGGATGTGATTTTGTACCTACTGGTTGGGGCGTGAACAGTGTAGACAAACAAGGAGGAATTATGAGGAGTGATTTCAGAGGTAAAGGAGAAATTGTTAGAAACAAACCGAGAGGGAGTTATTTATAATAGATGATAGGATGCACAGGTGGGAAGCATCCAGATAGGGAGGGAGTGGGGAAACAAAGTCTCTCCTGTCCAAAATAAAACCAGGAAAGAAATACACATAATCCATGTAGAATTTATATTTGTACTCACACATACAATGCACTGTATAGCTTATCCAAAATCTGAATGGTTCAATGACAAAACAATTAAGAGACAATTAGATTATAAAAAGCAATATATGTTTTTGTATTAGACACATTCACTGCACCCCGGAAATGCATAATGTATCTTCAGTCCAAGTGGATAATGTACAGTATTGTTATGAAAATCAAGTGAGCCAGGTTCAGGTGTGCTGAGGAAGTTTCAGAGACTGATGAAGACTTACACAGCATTATTTAATGAGCCTCGGCCGAGGAGATACAGTGCCAGCAACATCTGAAGGATACTGTCTATCTAGGGACATTAATCCTTCCTAGACCTGTGTCCAAATATAGTTATTGTTCACCTCTCTATACATGTTTGAGGATTCTATTGGTTCAAATAAAGACACTATGCTTACCTTAGTTAACCTAAGTCACGCTGTGTGTCATTCAAGCCACATGCAACACTTTCTACATTGAGCCGGTCAGTCTGTCTGTAATGAAACAAAATAAAGATGATGTCACCTTTGGGTTACCTAGCAAATGGATAGCAGTGCATTCTTATCAATACATGCAGACCAAGCAGGCAGAGAGGAGAGACAGAGTCTGTTGTGGACAGTCACAAGGCTTACTTTAGTTTGAAGTTGCCCTTCTCATGACTTGGTGAAAATGTGTGTCACAGTGCCTCTAACATTCCCTCCCAATGATGTATATAAATTGTACTTAGAAAGTAAATGTATTACATTTTGACTTGTGATGTCATAGATAGAATTAAGAGGGCTGCAGCTCACTCTGATTTATTTCATTGAGCTGGAGAGAAATATATGAGCCATCCAATATTTTTTATTACAGTGATTTCTGGAAGACAGTAAAAGTCTGTTTACTTGCCTTTTTTCCTGCATAACATTGCCAATGGAAATTCTGGTATGATCAGACCCAACAGGCGATTGTAAATGTAAATAGAGAGACTGTACACAGGATTGAGCCATGGGTACAACCACTGGAAAGTGGTGCAGAAGATATTAATGTGTTGCTGTTGGTTAGAGGCCACAGTATGTTTGAAAAATGAAATCGAGATGGTTGAGGAAGGATTTGAGAAGTTAGATGAACAAGTGACAGACAAAAGGAGGAACACAGGAAGCAGACAGCAAGAGATTAAAGACAGAAAGAAGGAGTTAAGGTGGATCAAAGGATGGCAGGAGGGATGGATGGAAGGCCTCTTATGGCAGCAGTCATCTGCCTGCAAGGTGGATGCAGGAAACTGAGGGAGGAGATGCTGTGAATGAGGGATTTAGCAGTAAGTCAACTCCAGGAAGAGGAAAGTAGAAGTCTTAAAATGCCTGAAAGAAGTTGTGAGAGCTGATCTGAAACCTCACGGGACCAGCTCTAATTCAAATGGAGTGTGTGTGTGTGTGTGTGTGTGTGTGTGTGTGTTGTGCTGCACTCTCAAGCAGAAGCTAACCTGGTCTTGTCAGTTCCAGTTATGGTGTACAGTTCTTTTAATTGGATCCAGAACATGACTAACCACCTGTCCTGAAGACAGACTGACTTTAAATGACTTTTATGACAGCTCTCCTGGATGTACATTTAGCCGTGTGTGTGTGTGTGTGTGTGCGCGCACAGTACAGTTTGTCCTCACGATATCTTTACTGTAAATGTAAATGCACACACTCTTTCTGACTGTGTGTATTTTCTGTGTATCTGTGCTGCGGTGTGCTTTATTTGTCTTCCCTTGTTTTTTGTGTGCGTGTCCACAGCACAGAAGTGGATGTACGGAGGTCTGGACAGCAACGTGTTTCTGCAGTATCTGGCCTGGGTCACCTACCCCGTAGTCCTCATTACCTTCTCTGCCGGCTTCACCCAGATTCTTGCCCCCCAGGCTGTCGGTACGACCAGCACACACAAAGCAGAACATACACACAGAGCATATAGATAAACCACACATACAACACACAGAACACTGAAGACACTTCAAGAAGGGGCACATTAAAGTACATTTTATTGTGCATATTACAGTAGTGCTAAATAAAATGTTAATTAACTGATTATACTATTGGCAGAAAATTAATCGATTGATAATCAATGAATCGCACACAAAAACTTCACAAGTATTTGCTGGTTTTAGCTTCTCAAATGTATCATTGTTTATTGAATATTTTGGGGTTTTGACTGTTGGTCAGACCACAATGGGATTTTTGAGCATGTTCAGTAGCTATGTATTCCGGAAAAATAAGCAATTAAGTAAGTGATGGAAAAATAATTATTAGATGGCTCTATATTATAAATAAATGTTAGTTTCAGCCCTATATGACTGTACGTCAGCAACAAAGATGCTTTCATATGTATAGTATTAAGATTTGACAAGTGGATTTAATAGTGAATTTAGATGCTATCAAGCCCCAGCCCTATAAAAACAAGAAGTTACTCTATAATCAGTATAACAAATCCAGGTTTTTGCAATATTTGCATTCGCAGTGAAGTAAAATTAAACACACCAAATGGTGTGTGGTAGTGAGTTGGAGGTCCCAAATGCAGGACACGAATACAGGCAGGTATAGTTCACAAAGTTTAATCAACGAAAGCCGAGCACACTTACTTAAGAGTAGCTGAGTCCAGGAAATCCAAAATAATCACTGTACAAACAACCAGGCAATCCAACAGAAAATCCAAAAGGGGAATAATCCAGAAATCAGGGGAACAGTCAGGACATGACGAGACAGAGCATGACAAGCTACAATGAGCGAACGCAGACTGAAGGAAACACAGGCAATATACACACACAGGACTAATGAGCAGGGAGGGAACCAACTGGTGAAAGACATGAGGGACTAATCAGAACAAGCTAGACACAAACAACAGACACTGACTGTTACAAAATAAACCAGGAAGTAAAGCTTGCAACAACAGACCAGGACCAACCATAAATACAGAACACAAACTAAACACAGAATGAAACAAGCGGACTGAAAAACTAATAATAAAACTAATAAATAATAATAACACCAGATAACAGAATAAGACAAGAACTAAGGCAGGCTCAGATCAAAACCAAAAGACAGGCAACAGTAAATAAACTAGCACCAGCAGGGTTTTTCCTGGCTCAGAATGGGCCTTTGAGGCACCCCGAAAGTGACAGGAAGCATGATCAGTACGCGTACAGTAAAGGCAATGAGTTGCCTTATGACCGAAATCTATGCATTTTCTTATAATTTCTGACCATTTGATAAACAAAATATATTCACAACCTGGATGAGTAAAGGTACAAATTAGTGTATTAATAATATTATAACATAATAGTATAATGTTAGTATAATGTATTTACAGGTTACACTTGATTTAGATTATCTGCCTACAGATTAATGAGTTTATTAGTTGAGATTCAGCTGTTAAAACCTTTCTCTGATATTAGCCTACACCACTGTGGTTAGGGTTTGATTAATGCTAATGTTTGTATATTCATTATAATTTCAGATAATAGTACAGGCGCCTATAGCTTACCATTAGTAGCCTATAATATTAATTCCAGCTGGACAAAACAGCAGTTTAATTTTTGTGGGTTGTTTCCAGTCATTAAATTATTGTGCAAGAAAAATGCTCTACATGGTGTTAAGTCTCACTTGTTTATGCAAACTACTAAGTTGTCAGTAATAAAAAACGTGCATAGAGAACAACAAGTGCAACATTTTTAAAGTTCGCTGTGATGCCTCAACCTTGTTTTAATATCCTGCCTATTCCAGGCTGTGATTGGTCGGTTCACGAAAAGTGATTTTGACAAGCAACTAGCGCACACCATCAGTCTCCCTGCGGAAATTGGTGGATCAGGCAGGAGAGAACAGGGACAGTTGAGCGTCTCATAGTGCCCAGAAAACCTGATTTAGAGAGGGCAGAGGAGAGTCCTGGTGCCGGTACGCCAGTAAAATGTAAAACTGACAGTACCAGTACACTTAAATATATTGAGAGAAATAACAGGTCATCAATAACAAGTCATCTCTTCCATTAGCACAAGCTTCGTAGCGGAGCATTCAGGCACGGTCAAACCAGCGCAGCAGCTGGTTTATAAATCCATATCCAGCAGAATGTGTAAAAACAGCGCTATGGATGAGAGGAGAGCTCAACAGTTTGATAAATGGACATTAAAACACATTCAGAGAATATTTTAAACGCTTTTTTTTTTCCTCTTTTTATTCTGGCGCTGGTGATTTTCCTTTGGCACTCACTAAAACCTCTTTGGGGGGCACCAAAAATTTCTCTATGCAGAAAAACCCCGACCAGGCAGACTGACACAAGACAACAGACAGACAGGACTGAAACCCAAAACACAACAGACTAAATAACAGATGCAGAACTGACTAAATAACAAAATTGGCAGAGAAATAAACTAAACAGATCAGACACACAGTGTGACACTGATAGCTTTTCTAAAAATGTTTTCATCTGTCTGTCACTTGAGCTACCATATTGATAGTGACGCCATGTATTGTAATGAATAATGAATTCCTAAACACTTGCAATAACTAATACCACTGCGACACGCTGTAATTCCCCTCTGCGCCTAAAGGCTCTGCTTCTTCCCCAGGGAGGATCAGACGAGGGAAGGAGAGAAATCCTCCACAAGTTCTGTGCACAAGTCAAAGCCGTAGTAAATCTAAAATGCAGGTTAGGCTTGTCTGAATTCAGCGCAGTACTCCAGGTGCTTGAAGTCATTTCTGCTGCAGGAATAGCGGAGACTTTCCTGTCACTCTGAATAAACGAGGCTAAAGAGACGGGTGAGCTCCTGAGAATGTGAGATATCCTCTTCTATTAGTGAGACACACCTCCTTTTTCTCTTTCACTCATCACCTCACTGAATCACTGTTTTACACCGTGTTGTGTGGGGGACACATTTCTTTTGAATGTTTATTCATCTTAATATGAAAAAGAAGCCGAACACCTGTCACATTAACAAACGCTGTAATGCCAGACAAATGAACACACGTTATATCATAAATTGGTACTTCAGAGGCAGCAATACGCAGGGAAACAAACATAAAGACCAAACAGCTGGATGCAGCAATGTCCTACATGGGGAATACAGAATGGAACATTGTAAAGAATCAACAATTATTTTAAAATTTGGGGGGCTTGAAGCTGGCATTGTGGTTTCACAGGTCGCCATCTACAAGTAATTAATGCGTGTAATGCATACCTTTTTAAAATGTCGTCTTTTTTTTTTTTAACTGTTGCTTTAAGGCTATGATGTAATTGATAAGTATTTGTTTTGTTGGTGAAGGCTCCTTAAAGGTCAGTTGCTCAATGCGTTTGGTTTTTCTTTAAGTTGATAGTCAGCTGTAAGCGCCCGCTGTGCTCCCCTGCAGGTTCAGGTATTCCAGAGATGAAGACCATCCTGAGGGGAGTTGTGCTGAAAGAATACCTCACCTTTAAAACGTTTGTGGCCAAAGTCATCGGCCTCACCTGCGCTCTGGGCAGCGGCATGCCCCTGGGCAAGGAGGTACACACACACACACACACACACACACACACACACACACACACACACATACACAAATCATCTTCACTCACACTGCAGGCCCCTAAATGCCTTTATGTACTGTAAGTGTCCGTGTGTGCAAGCAGTCTTTAATAGAACTACCCTGCTGAATGGGAAGGTGCAGTCTGGGACATCATGTGACACACACACACAGCACAAGCTGACAATCAATGAGTCAATCAATATGTGACTCATAAGACGAATATGAAAAGAAAGCTGCTGTTCTCACGTATGCTTTCATGTTTCTGAGTGCGGGTACAAGCAAGTGTGTGTCTCCGCTACTAACACACATAAGCTGTCCACTACAGGGCCATCTCATCATCGCTGACTTTTCAGCTTTGCTTCTTTATGTTTGCACTGGCAGCAAAACTCAAATGCTGACCCGTGCTCAACAGTTATGTTGTTTGCCAACACCGTTTCAGTGATCCACAGCATTACATCTTTTATTTGTGATGAAATCCAGAATCCAGACTGGCACCGAGCTGCTGTCAGGTTTGAATGCCAGCTTACACAGCATCCAAAATAAACCTTCAGTATTAGTGGAGAATACCAGCTGTGTGCAGCTTCAGTTCAAATCGTTATCAGTCATCAAAAACCCGTGTAGGTCAAAGTGAAGGGCAGGAACCCTGGTAGAGCAGGTTGTAATTCAGATTTTACAATTGTATCGTGCTTAAAATCAGTGCATACATACAGAGCTAACATGCAATAAAACATGAACTTCCAAGGGAATCATAACCCTCCCCGGTTCATTCACCTTCCAGTTCCCTACATCCCTGCAGCATGAATTACAAATGATTCCTAAATGGCACACCATAGGCTGATATGCTTAGGTTGAGGGCCATGAGTGTGAAATCTGGAGAAGGGGAAACACACGAGGAAAGGAAGAAGGGAGGAAAGAGTGTGCAGAGTTGAGACCTTTTCAAAACCCAAAAACGGAGAAAATGGGTTTTTTTCTGGAGATTTAAGGATCCCCAACATAGCTATGCAGATGTTGTGTGGACATAAATAGCAGTAATAAGAAATAGTAATCTACATTACATTATATGCAGTGTTTTGTCTTTAGCAATAACAGTTTCAGGTAAGTATGGCATCCCCCAGAACACAGCCTGAAGACATTCTTGCAGGAAAATATATTTTCTCCTCTCTCACACACACACACACACACACACACACACACACACACACACACACACACACACACGCCTCAGGCTCTCTGGGTTGTGTACTACTACAGCAGCATCCACAGTTTGGATTCAGTGCAGGCCTTTCGCTTCCTTTAACCTGCACGTCACTTTTCTGATGTGGTGCTCTCACTTTTAATCCTGTTAGTTCCACTTTGAACTCCATGCCCAGAATTTTAATAAGCTCTGCAGACTTTGTTTGTTGTTGATGTCTTTTCAAAGAGTTTTTACACACACAACAAACAGGATGCTAGAGAATTTCTTAACTTGGAACGTTTGCACCTGATTTTCGATTGTTGTTTTTTTTCGTCCTGTCAGGGTCCGTTCGTGCACATTGCCAGTTTGTGTGCTGCTCTCCTCAGCAAGTTCATGTCTCTGTTTGGAGGAATCTATGAAGTAAGTCCTGTTCGTTTTTTGTCAGTGCCCTTCCTCACGTTTTTTTGTTGCTCTGTCTCAATTGATTTCACTTTGTGTTACGGTTTCTACTGGCAAAACCCTAGACATCTATTATTAATTTTGTCATTATTATTTTACATAGACATTGTACACCATATAACAAACTGTTTTAAAACTCCAACTCCAAACTCGTTTTTTTTCCTGTTCCATCTTCTTCAAATGTAGTGCTGATATAATTTGCACAAAGGTGTAATTTCTCCTGGGGACAGGAGTAAAACTCTGAGTCATTATTACCGTACACCTGAGAAAAGTCATTTGTTTTTAGTTAATCTCCCTCAATTCGTCCCTGTACCATTTTTTTCAGCTAAAAAAGTGGAAAAAACGCTGTGCACGCAGACATCAAATGCACAGTTTTTATTATTCCTTAGGAAGCAATTTCTTTCATCCCATGTAAAGTCAACAAACAGTAATAACCCGTTTTATAAATGTTTAATCAGTCTGTTATTTGTCAGCAAATTAGATCTTTTTCATATTCGACACTAACTCTGCCCAGAGAAAGATAAAGCGTGATAGAGATGAAAATTCCATAAGGGGAAAAGAAGAGACGGATGGAAAACATGCAGATTGAGTAAGGAAAGGGGAAAGCAAAATCATGTGCGTCTTCATCGTCTCCTCCTCTTTCTTCTTCTCCATCTTCTCTGCCCGTTGGGATAGGAGTCCGGGAGCTTGAGGAAGGCAGAGAAAATCTTGACTCTCATCTCTCTCTTCTGAAGATGTGAGCACCTCTCTTGGGGGGGGATGAAATGGTGGGAAGACGGGAGGGTTTGAAGAGAGTTCAGAGGGCAGTGAGACAGAGAGCCCCGAAGTCCCCGCGCTGCATCCACAATATGGCCTTAAACTAAAAGTGGAAACTGTTGTGTAGTCAACTTTATGGCAAAACTGATATCTTGATGCAAAAGTGATTTGGAGGATCAACTGGATTTGCTCCGCATTAGAGTAAAAAGAGCAGCAGAAACAGTATATTGTAAACATTACCTACCTACAGTACATGTCAAAAAAATGGATACTAGCACATTACACCAATATGATTGCTGAACATGGACATTTATATGCTGCCATAACAGCCTCCACTCCATTCTGGTTTCTGGCTCTCCACAGATTTTTGGAACCTGGCTTCAGGGATTAGCTCCCATTCAGATGCAGTGCATTTGAGAATTCCTCCAAAATGAAATAACTCAAAATGTGTCTCTAGACATATATAAGCTGATGCTCCTATCAGCAGGAAGATATCTTTTGTCTGTGCCTTCCAAAACTGTTCCACATCACAGGTTTAGGCACAAAAATGACTCTGTTAGGTTTGGGGAAAGATCATGGTTTGGGTTCAAAGAAGTACTTAGTTAAGCTTAGGGAACCTTTATCGCCAAGGTTACAGTTATAATGATGTGGTTTACTGTGTTCATGGTTAAGAGAAATCATCGCTGGCTGTTGGTGGGAAACAAGATAGAAACTACAGTCTCCCATCCCAAGTCCAACGTGGCTCTATAATAATGTCACCTGACGTCCTCAGTTGCTCCCGACAAACAAGGCTCATAAGCCGCCTTTCCACCAAAAGCGGATCTCTTTTCAAGGAACTAAAAGGTTCCTTCAGCCCATTGTTCGGTGTGTTCCGCCGTGGTCTAAAGACCTGCGAAGATTAGGCAAATTAACCAGCTGACGTAGGCCTTACATACGCCGTACAAAGCGATTATTTGTAACCACTATCCATGAGCAAAACGTATAAATGAACATCAGATTTGATTGGAATCTAATGAAAAACAGTAGGTTATGCTTTACCATTAAAAACAGTTTTTTTGTGTGGGATTATAATGAAGAGCCACACTATAAAGTTTGTTAGAAATTGAATACACACTGGATAATCAAGTTGTTAAAATAACTCCAGCACCCAAAGTACCAAAGTACTACACCCCGAGCAGGGACTCTTTAGGGGATAAAATAAAGACCCTACAACTAAATTTAGACACTGGTCCCTTCGTGGAAACGCAGTGAGTTCCTCCAAAGCTTCCTAGTTCCGGGTATAGTTACTTTGGTCGAAACGTGGCTATGGTTACTACACCTGCTAGGTGTCTTTGTTACTTGACTGCAAACATAGTTAATACACTTTTAATATTTCAAGGCTGATTGAGAGCACATTTTAACATAGCCTTACAGCTACCTGATTAATAACTTTCCCTAAAGGGAAATGTGTCTTACAACAAGGCATACATACAACCACATTGAATACAAACAAATATATATATTAAGGCTTACAATATCAATAAAAAATAAAAACAATGTAAAGAAGAGCATAACATAAAATCAGCGGTTAAAACATCATCGCTGTCCAGTGACCTTAAACCCACCAATCTTTTTATGGAAGACTCATTATCAGCTGGTGTTCATCGGCAGTTGCAGGCATTTAAGAAAATGACATTCCTCACCCTGTTGGACGAGGCTTTTGGTAGTCCAAAATTCCATCCAGCAGGGAGGAGCTCAATGTCTCCATGCAGAGGATGGAGGAAAGACTCTCAAATGATTTGATTTCTTGGGGAAAACGTGAGACACATCAGCAGACAGACAGATTATTGCATATTTCCCCACGTAATCTCCAGTGAAAATAATCTGACAGCCATTTAAATACTCACGTTTTGCTTTGCTTCAGTCTGCTTTTGCTTGTGTGTAGGAGTTTACCCTGGTCTCCCTATTGAAACATGTTGACATTTACTTCAGACTGTAAATGTTCACAGGCATTAGTTTATAACCCTCCTTAAATGCATTCTGCTACTCTATGTTCATGTTTCTCCATTAGATTTTTAATTTTCCCTTCTGCCTATCTACCTTTTTTATATCTCTCTTCGCTAATCATCATTATCCACATTGTCTCCCTGTAACACCCTTGTTACTCTTTCCTGCTCTCCACTCCCTCCGGAGTGTTGTGCTGCATTTTATTGCATATTAATGCTGAGAGTGTGTGTGAGTGTGTGAAGTGTCCCTCTGCAGCAGTATCTCGTCCTCTCCAGAGTTTGAATGTGGGGGTATGCTAATGAAGCCTGTGGGCTGTAAAAACCAGCTTTTTGTTTCAGCGTGCTGAACTTAGAGCAATGAGTACTCCACACACGTGAAGAAAACGTTATTGCTGAAAAAAAGTCAGTTGATTGAGTCTAAATGTTGCTGGAGACTTTTTAATTTAGTTGGAAAAATGGTGGAAAATCAGTGTGATATTTCTTACAGTGATGCACACTGAGTAATAAAAGTGTTCTTCATTGTTCCTGGGTAGCTTTAACTTTGTCTCTTACTTCCGTGCTTCCTGAAGGAGCCCTGGACTAAGGTAATTTAATCGTACAATTCCCAGCATGCTCCACCATGTCCCCTCAATGCAAAAAAGTATAGCGTGATATCTATTCCCGGATACAGACTCCAGGACATGTTTTTAACCCTTTAAAATGTTTCAAAACCATCACTGTATCATCACATCATATACTGTATATTCTATACACATACTATATCAGCTTGTTCTAATTTATCATTGAAGCTATATGAAGTTTACACTTCAAGAAGTATTCAAATGATGCATTTGGTTGTGAACAATGGGCCTAATGCAAGAAACTGTTGTACAAAACATTTTCAAGTTTCAAATCTCACGTATGTAGAATTTTAGGCACAAAGTAAATTCATGAGTGCCACGAGTCATGTACAAGGGGAAACTTGTGTCTTGATATAACAATTACAATAAAATAGTCTGAATGGGGAGGCAGTTTAGCTTACCTGGTAGCACGTGCCTCATGTACAAGGCTGAGTTCTTACTACAGTGGCCCGGGTTCGCCCATCTCTCTCTCCCTCATTAAATTGTTCCCTTTATGTTTCAGTGACACCTTCCCACAAATATATATGGTAACCTTATATAGCAACTATATGTGGGGCCTTCATGTGGTCGGTAAAGATCAAATGCTACCTCCTATTGGAGGGAACAGGTGGCATATATCAAGTAGAAAGGAGAAATTTACAACAAGTTTCTTCGGTGAAGAGAGTTTGCTTGGAACACAAAATGACCCCAAGCAAAGAATTTAGGGTACATTTGCTACCAGAACAGGCAAATATTCTTGCATGAGGCCCAATGTTTGGCTGCACATTTGTTGGTAACGATGGACTCAACTGTAAAAATCAAAGTGGTGTCAGAATGTACTCTATCATTGTTTGCTCACGAAAACGTTCAACAAAATTTATGGATAAAGGGAATTCAAACTTGGAAGAAGCAGAAATATTCCAACCTACCGGCATTTACAAGAGGGTCAAAGGGAAAAGCGTGCAGGCACACACGCACTAACCTCTCTTTATCACTGCCATGCTACTTAAAGGAAACCAGTCTCATAGGAATGAAGGTAAGTAACATCAGGCATGTATGAAAAAAAAACTCCATTTCCCAGGATGCACAGGATCCTTTGCCCTGCAGTCATGCAGTCAGTCATTTCATTTCTTCTTTTCCTGTCTGTCTAACCGCGTGTTACACTACCCATCATTACTACTCATCTGGTGAGAACCTCAATATTTTTCTCTTAAAGACAGTTCACTGTGGATGGCCTCATTGTGTACTGTGCAGTTAGTTCATTGCTTTTAAAGCATGAAGCTACTTATCAACTAATGTCTTTTTTTGTTTTTAATTTGTCAAGTTTTTTTTTGCTTCACCAGCTTATAAATGTGATGAAATATCTTTGTTTTAAACTGGCACTTGGTGTTTAAGTCAGTTTTGTCAGTAGTTTGTCACTATAGTTACTTTATGTTGTGATGGAAATTATATGTTTTACTGCAGTTTAATTTCAGTGTGTTACATTTAGAGCCCAATGATATGGGTTTTTGGGGGCCGATGCCGATATTAAAGTGAAAAAGAGCCGATTTATGAGCCGATATTTTGATATTGAATATTATTTGGATAGGAGACCCCTTTCCTGTCCAAACTACACTTAGAAAAGTGTAAAATATTGAAAGCTGGTCTGTATGTGGGCTATAATACCTTTTCCTAAATGGATTGTGTTAATAAAATATTTGCTGCAGGAAGGTGCAACTGTAAACAAGATGGCTGAAAGAGAATAAGCCTAGGCTATGTGTATTTTACGTTACACATATAATGATAACTGATAACTACTTTCAGTGTAGCATATTTACTTTTAGTTTATCCCTGTACCAGCACTCTTTAATAATATCCAAAGCGACGAGAAACCATTTCTCAACCACCAGCTGGCTCTAAAACATGCCGTCTATGAGACATGACTGTCTACAACAAGGACTTGCAACTTTGAGATTTCATTTAACTATAACTACAACCAGAGCGGTTACGGCTCTGACTACAACGTTTCACATCTACAACGTCACACAAAGAGGAGCTACAGGAAGCCGTGTTGGAGTCTTGTTCAGCTCACGTTAATTTACATGTCCTCTCTGGTTTAATCATTTCAGACACGCTGACAGGCATCTCGCAGATACATTTAGAATAAGTCAGAAACTATAGTTTAACGGCTCATTAATGTTAGCGCTCTTCCACTGATAAACATAGCATTAGCTTTGTGGCTAATTTAGCAACGGGCAGTGTTAGCTGCTGTAACGTTACGTGAATTTAGAGAATATTTACAAGTGATGAACTACAGAGAAATGAGAGGGCCGTTCGCTAGAACTGCCGCATTGTTTCAGAAATAAATCTACAATCGTCTGTCGGCAGCAAAGCCTCCAACACCCACACAACTACCGTAACATTAAACATACTGCTGTGAGCCGGGAGGAAACCGAGATAGGGCAGTGAAAAACGGCAGGGTTAGCAAGTCATGAATGTTTTCAGGAGAGGAGAACTGACTGTCTGTTTTTATTATAATTATTTAAGTCATGTAATTAAAATGACAAAGGACCGACTCAGCCCTCTTCATGTTTCTACATGCTGCCTTAGACTCCCGTAAGCTGATTGTTTTCTTCTGTGGTTTCTGTGGTGCTGCAGTCTTGTTAACAGAGGAGCTCTAGGGCTTCCTCTTGTGGTCAAACTATGCAACACTCATGACATGAGTGAAGGATCTGACTCTCTGATTCTTTATCAATAGTCATATCTGTTGTCATAAACGCTGATGCCGATTAAATGTATTTAGCTCATATCGGCCGATAATATCAGTCGGCGGTTATATCATCGGGATTTTAATTTAATTAAATTTAATTTTAACGTGTGTTCTGATCTGCTTTGTTTGTTCAGGGAGGTAGTTACTTAAATGGCTCGTCGTATGAAAGACTGAAATGTAACCGTATTGGTGTGTGTGTGTGTGTGTGTGTGTTTCAGAATGAGTCGAGAAACATTGAGATGCTGGCAGCAGCCTGTGCTGTGGGAGTGGGCTGCTGTTTTGCTGCCCCCATAGGAGGTGAGTCATCACAAAACAAATGTAGTAACGTAACTACACTGGATACACTGGAGTTGTATGATGTTTAATATATGTTGGCCATGTATAATACCAACTACACATCATACAGCATACAGTCACTCAGTGGGCATATTATAGTGACTGTAGTGTCTCTTTCTGCACACCTAAAATCATCTCATGTTAAATTTAGGGCCTTAGTACATGCTAATACAGATCTCACAACATGAGTTTGTGTGAGTGACATAATTTAGTTAGCTGCCTGTGCTTGTTCAGTCATTTGACAGCTCACCGTGACATTTTCTAGCTAATACTGAGTTGAAGGAAAGCCACTCAGGGGAGTCTGTCAGTACATATCTGGTGTGTCAGTTTGGGATTAAAAATAAACAACCGAATATGCTTCCGAGAGCAGATGCTGGCGTACACAGTTAGTTGTTAAATTGCTCTGAAAGCAAAAGGAAAAAATCATTGTACGAGAAACACATAGTCACAGGGATTCTGCATGTCCAGAAATGTTAATTTAATTTATTTAAATTATTCAGATTGCAAATGTTCTATATTTGTACTCTGCACCTCATGGGCACCATTCTCACTACATTACATGAGTCCTTTTAGTCTGTGAGTCTGTATTATTAATCATGCGTGACCCACGCTTTTGTTAGTACTTTATCGTATGCAGTACATAGTGGCCAAAGTGGGACCAGTTCATTAGAACATTTATATTGTGTGCAATGTGTGCGTGTCTTTCAGGTGTGTTGTTCAGTATTGAAGTAACGTCCACGTTCTTTGCGGTGAGGAACTATTGGAGAGGTTTCTTTGCTGCTACCTTCAGTGCCTTCATCTTCAGAGTACTGGCTGTTTGGAACAGAGACGAGGGTAAGGTGGATTAATAAATAAATAAAATACAGTATATTGATGGGTCTTTAAGTGCAAGTATGGGGAATGATGCAATTTGAATCCCTGTCTGCAGACCACCATGAAGTAGGATTAATGTTACATGACGAAAGTTTAACGACCAGAATGTTATTGAATAAACTGTGGAAATACTGTATATGTACTGTACTGTAGATGTTTTTCATTGGAGGTTTGTGTGTTGCATAGAAAGTGCAGCACAGAGCTACTATACTATGTGCGACATCAATAAAAACAAGAGAAAATGTACAATAGAATATTTTATTGATAATAAATGTTCTAACTAAAAGTTACTTGCAATAGAAACTTGCAACAATGTTGACTTTTTATATATAGCAATGATAAACAGCAATGTAACATATGAAAAGGTTCATCGCATCAACTTCACATTACAGCAACTGGACTTTCAAATCACTACTAGGCCACATAGATGATTTTGGCTGTTTTAAGAAAGATGTTTGAACTTAATCTAAACTGACATGAGTGGAACTCACAAATCCTGAAAATAAAAGCCAAGGCTAAAGTAATTAGATAGATATACTGTATTGTTGTGCAGCCACACATCTGTCTCATCCAGCTCACATAGAAAAAGAAAGCAGAAAGCGGGCCTGTTCCGCAGCACACATTTTGAAATTCTGGCATAGCAGAAAAAGCACAGGTGCAACTACTAACTGTAATGTTGACTCCATTCACATTTTAATGTGCCAGTTAGCCATGAAAACTTTCAAAATATCAGGGCGCTGGACCTGGAACACCTCAATGGAATGTAGCCATCGCCAGAGCTGGACTGGGACAAAATATCGGCCCCCGCATTTTTGGGGCTGGGGCTCCTCCGCCAGAAGATTTTTTCATTAAACACTTAATTTCCTGCATTCTGGAGACATTTTCTGCACCAATTTATGGTGAAAAAGTATTTATTTTTATAAAGGGAAGCACAAAATTCAGATGGCAGGTGACAATTCACAATATAAAAATATAATGCATTAATCAGTAGCTTATTATTTTTTGCTTTTTTTACTTTTTTGGGACAATGCAGATGTTTCTTCTATATTTACATTGCATTGCAGGTTTTCTTGAGCACAAATAAACCTTTCTCATATATTTATTGATAAGCATTTCTTGGTGCAAGCTATTTTTCAGAACATTTTTTACAAATGCTTTCAAACAGCAGTTGGGACATGTCCCCAGCGTCCCAGTGTAAATGACCCTTTCTCCCTAAAGGTTGAGCTACTCCATGCTATTGCTTCACCTCCACTCTCCTCCTGCTCTCTCTCTCTCACTCGGCCCTGTCACTTTGTCCCTCTATTTCGCTAACACAGGCCTCCTCCTCTGCCTGGCTGTGCCCACCACAGCTCTTTTACTCCTTCAAGTCCCTATGCCTGCTCGCAGGGTGCTGCAGCTGATGTTGAAGCTACTGCAGCCCCGGCAGCAAGCATATCGGTTGTTTTTTGTTGGCGGCCTCCGTCTGAAGGGGTATTTTTTTGGCCTGTAACGCAAGAAGCAGAGAGGGTGGGAGCTAGTAAGAGATGTGATTGGGCCAGCCCAATGTCAGTATAGAAAAGTTTAGAAAATTACCCAATGGGCCGCTGTCCATGCTGGATGGGCTGATTGTTGGACAGTTTTTTAAAAACAGTTATATAAATAAATAATTTACGTTACACCGGCCCCAAAGGTGCGTCGGCCCACCGGGCATTTGCCCGGTATGCCGGATTACCAATCCAGCCCTGGCAATCGCTAAATTACACCCGTGCTTTTCTTTCTTCCACTACAGCAGAAAACCAACAGAGCAAAGTTTCAGTTTCCTCAGGATTTCCAAGATGTTGACATTTTCTCACACCCTCTGGTTAAAGGACTGCAGTCTGGCTATCCCCCTTATATAGTGCACTGCATCTGATTGCAAGACCCTAGACCTGGGGCCTCATTTATAACCGTTTGTAAGAATAAATTGGGATTTATAAAAAGAAAAGAAGAAACTTCACGAGGAACTGTGCACACATTTAGGGAGACTTTGACCCGTGCGTTTGAACATTTAGGAGACGAGCAACGCAGATAGTGAGGTGGTGAATTGAAGTCATATTGTAAAAGGATGCCTCTCACACATTTAATTTCAGTTAAAATCAAACATTAATTATAGATCCACGTTATCATACACCATTTAAGTAACCATAACTATTCCATAAGCACCTTTCGTTTCAAAGAGATATAAGCCAAATCAAATCTTAAATCAAAGCGCTCAGTATTTCATCAGCTTCGTCTCACCAACCCTGGAGCGCAGTGAGAGACTGTTGAAATCCGAGATTACATCACATAGCTTTTGGTAAATGCAGAACAGAGAGTCAGTAGTTTTAAGTAATATCTTCTAACACTGCGAATATCACCAAGTACGATTTTAGACACACACACACACACACACACACACACACACACACACACACACTCTCACCTCGACTCACCCGGCACATCTTCACCACCTGCACATATGCATTGTGTACATTAGCAAAGTCTGGATATAAAGACCGGAACAGCTCTCTCACAATCATATCCTCATTGTCAGTCTTAATCATAATGTAGCCCAAGAACAACGAAATCAACATAAAAATGTGTTCACCTGTCAAACCTCCATCTTCAAGTGGATATCCCAGGGTGGGGGATACCAGTGATTGACTATTTTGGCAAGGTGTGAAGTACTCAGTATGATTGCTGTGAACATAAATATTGCATGGCCCTCATGTGTAATACTGCACGATGGATGCCTGGCGCTGCAGGCTGCACGCGTATAGAAGGATTAGAGGGAACAAGTGTTCAGAAGATTTCCTGGCCACGATGACTGGCTAATAAGATTTCCTAGAGCCGTGCTCTTTGATCTATGCGCTGAACTGAGTCTAGCATTAGACAGACCAACCCCGACGGAACTGTGCCATCCCGGTACAAATTTAAGTAGGCTAGCAACTGGCTGTTACCAGTGTGAATTAGCAGACAGGTGTGTGTTTTATAAGATCAACAATATCTAAAGTTTACCTTTCTGCCTGAAGCACCTTTTTGGAAAAATTTAACTCTGTTAAACTCGCTGCTATTCTTTTGTTTGTGACCCCGTTACTGTGGCCACCAAACAATATGCACTTTCTTACCTCCACCTCATGAGCACCTTGATTTCTGTGCCAGAAAAAAAGAATCACATTCCACTTTGTTTTTGTTGCCATGATTCACGGTAAGCAGGCTCATTTATACACATCCCTATTCTCAATGTGCTTTGCATCGACCATTTATGGTTGAATGTGGGTGTGTCAAAGGCTGATTGACATGCGTGTGGAGTGTGATTTTAAAGGGAAAGTTACCTGCAGGTGTGCGGACTCGTGGTTTTTATAAATCATATTTGTTTTTTTGGCGGATGCCATTTTCAGATTATGTGTGCACGTACACCTTTACTTTTTTTTTTTTATAAATGAGGCCCCTGGTCTTGGACCTTGTCTTATGATTTTGATGATTGATTTGTCAGTGGCTTGTTCTCTTTCCTCACTCTAGCTGTATTTTTTGCTTTCTCCAGAGACCATCACAGCCCTTTTTAAAACCAGTTTTCGGCTAGACTTTCCCTTTGACCTCCAGGAGCTTCCTGCCTTCGCCGTCATTGGGTGAGTCTTATTTAGTGATTGGTGAATTTCTTTTTTCACAAATACATGTGGGCAGGGGTTTGGAATAACAATTCAAAACCGTCCATTTTTTAAATATTTTAGCCAATCATTTACAGCCCTTTATAAATACTTCCTTAATAGAAAGTGGTAAAAAATAGAACCAAAATGAGCACAGGCTTGGTTTGCCATGAAAGTCTATAGAAAGTTCAAATAAACACAATTCAGAATTCAACACTGAGTCATTGTTTTTGCCCATCTGGTTGTTCTGACAGGTATTCCCATTTCTCGTGACTGCAGCATAAAGTCAGATATTATTCAGGAGCTGCACTCACTCTATCTTGTGAAGGTGTTTCTTCAGGGTAGCCTGCGTGAGTCACCTAACATGGATAATTCAGCCTGCAACAGTTGCTAGCGCACTGAGGCATGTCTTATTTTATCCTGCCTTAGCCTGAGGGCTCCACCGTGGCAGTGAATGAGACCATGGGCTCCTGGAAGGCAGCTGGCGCAGAGATGGGAGGGGTGCTCTCCCACTCTCTCTCACAAATGAAAGCACATGCCTGTGTGCAACTCTGCGTTGGCCCTCCAAGAGAAGAATATCCCTCTCTTCTTTGCTTTCTCATCTTTTGTTCTTCATCTTTTTGATGATTCTTTATGTCATGGGGATTTAACACCCACAGCTGCATCAGTGACTTTCACATACAGTACACTTAACATTGCTTCCAGGGAAGACTGCAGAGCGCTTAGCCCCAGTTTTACACTGTGTTATAGTGTGTATGTGTGAGTCGGCACATCTATGTATTTGAGGTGGAGTCAGTGTGCCGGTTCATCCGCGTGGTTTCCATCGTCCCCTGCCAATAGCTGTCAAGCAGGGAAAGTCGGTCAGTGTCTCAGTCAACTAGGCCAGAAAGAGTACGTTCTGTGCTAGATGCTGTCAAGGGCACGTCTTTGAAGAGTCGCACGCTATTCTACTTACTGTTTACACCTTCTGGTTTTAGAAGTAGGAATCACTGGGATACAGGAACGCTGAAATACAACCTGACTCCTGCACACAAAAACATGGACAAATGCAAATAAATGCAGGACAGTGACAATATAAGTGGGAGCGTTATGTGTCACTACATCACACCCCAATTGGGCATATTCCCAATAGCCTCATTGTGCTGTGTTGAATTTTGTATTGTGGTTGCAACAAATGCATTTCAGGTTTTAAAAGCATCAGACTGCCCTGTGGAGTTTTCTCACCAGAATATATTGTGTTTGCCACTGAGGTCTAACAAAGATGTAGAATCCTTCCTCGTAAAGCATTTCTAAGAATCCTGCATCGTTTACTTCGGATAACAGCCTTCTTTTACACCTCCTGTTGTGCTGTGCCAGCGGCTCTCGATCAGTGGAGTAGTGTGAAACTGTCCGCAGAATGTGTTTCTTATCACGTTTGTGCTTTTTATGTGTACACATTCGTCCTTGCGCACATACTTGTAGAGTGTGAGATACAGTGCAAACAAAACAATATATAAAGGTACTGTTGGTCGAAAACTCCAGGCTGGCAATATTCTTCCTTTTTTTTTTTTTGTTAGTGTCAGCAAATCCCATGAGAAGATCAAAACCAACAACGTGCCCGTCTCTCAGTACCGTCCGACTCCCTTGCTCTGTCGGTCGCCCTCAGCCCCAAGCCCACTGCTTCGTACTGAAGCCAAATTGACACCAAACAATTTCTCCCATGCAATCAAACTGTTAAATGCTCAGGATGACTCAGCTGTCTGTGATGTATTTATCATGTTTTATGTTGCGTTCTGTGTTTTACCTGGCTGTGAGATAAATTTCCCCTGGGACACAATAAAAAGTTTCCTAAAGCAGCTGTTCATACTTCTTTTCGGAGAAAGTTACTCAGATGGAAGTAAATAAGAAGAAGAATTAGCTGGAGACTTTTTAGCTGCAGTTTAAGATGCAATGATGTTCTGGTGAGTATTTACAGCAGTTGGACGTCATATGTGTGTTTATGGTAATAAAAGACTCTATTGTCCACTGTCCTCCAGTGCAACAGTGTGGCTCACTGATGTGTCTTTAGTCTTGAAATAACAATGGACACAGTTTATGGGGAAATTGTATTGCCCCTACAGGAAAACACAGGAAACACCTTTACCTGACCGTACCCCTAACCCTGCTTGGCCTCAGATAGTGACCCCGACTCTCATTCTGATCTTAACCGTAAACCCAAATTCTAACGCTCAACCTTTCCCACAGAGAAAGGACATTTTAAGGGTGCAGCTACAAAGAAAACATAAAGGCACACATGCAGCGTTTTCCTCCGCTGCTCCACGGGGGCAAAGACTCCCTCATCATCCTTTTCATTATTTATTCAGAGGTATTTGACGGAATTAATAATGCAGCAAGATACATTTATAAGCATTAGGTTGTCTGCATAGCTGTCTGAGTCTATTCTTTCTCTCCCTGCCTTTCTTTCTTTTTCTGCCATAAAAAGGACCTCCACTGAGCTTTTAAATGCATGCTTATGTAAACCTCTCTTTCTGCTTTGACACTAACTCCCCCACACACCACTGCATGCTCTCTCCCCTTCTCTCTCTTAGCTGCAGTTCGCTGTTCTCATTGTTCATATCTAGTATGTTCCCCCTTTCATCTGTGTCTTTGTTTTCCTTTTTATGTGTCTCTTTTCTTTCCTCTTCTGCATCTACAGCATATCCCTCCTATGATTGAACTGCATTACATTTTCACCTACCACTGACCTCCGCCTCCAGTGAAGGAGATCCATTACGTTCAGTTTTTATTGTGGTCAAATGCACTGGGACAATCTATGGAGGTGGTATGAGTGAGAGCAATGGTATAATGAATGCTTTGGTTTGTTTCAGCTTGGACTCATCGCTTAATCCATCCAGTTTCAGTTTGATCACCCAGAACTCATTTTTTTGCCAAGTAGGGAAATGCCTGTAACTCTCCTCTTTCTGGTGTGTGTGTGTGTGTGTGTGTGTGTGTGTGTGTGTGTGTCTGCAGCATTGCCAGTGGTTTCGGTGGGGCTTTGTTTGTCTACCTGAACCGACTGATTGTCCAGTTCATCAGGAAACAGAAGGCCATCAACAGATTCCTCATGAAAAAGTAAGTCTAACCAGTTCAGTTTACTCAAGAACTGTAATTAAGATTAAGATTTAGAGGGATTGTACTTACTCCACTTCTGCTAATTTGCTGATTACTTTTCAGATTTTTCATACAAAACATAAGATGCATGTTCAAAATTTGGTACATTGTTAAAGACTGAAAGAGGTCTTATTATGCTTTTTGGCTTTTTCCCTCTCCTTTATTGAGTTATATGCATTTTTTAGCTCGACAAAAGACAACTTTACTCAAATCGTAGTGCCTAGAGCTAATCCGCTTGTGCTCTATATTTTTTTTAATTGCCTTCATTTGTATTCATGATTCCTTTACATCTAACTTTGCATTATAACTGATCACCATGTTTGCTTTGGAAATTGGGATTTGTGCTTTAAGGTGTTAGTACAAGGTAAGTTTGTACATTCATGATTGCATTCTCTCTTCTCTTCAGATCTGTGTGTAAAAATTCAAAGGTCCATGTTCTGTTCTGTTAACAGATGCTACCCCTATATAAATAAATTTTAAATTAATAAATATTCATACATACATACACCATGTACTGTACAGGTGCTCGCCTGCAGGTTCAGGTTTAGAGGTTTTTGAGGGTTTGAACATATCATGACTTTTAGTGTGAATCTGACACCAGTATTTTTCCATGAGTCTGAAACCTTGTTGCAGTGACATCAATAATGAAACTATTAATGGCTGGTGTGTTACCTCACTCATTTACACAGTCTGAACAGTGTTAACATGAATACTTTGGTTGATTATACGTATTGATGTTAATTTGCTGCATTTTACACTGGGGTATAATGATCAAGGAAGACATGCCTTAGTCAGGAAGCTCATATAATACTGATTTTGTTTAGTATTTCATATGTTTAATACACTCTCTGTCTGCCCTCTCCTTTTTCTCTATCTTCCTCCCTCTCTCTCTCTCTCCCTCTCTCTGTCAGACGTCTGCTGTACCCTGCACTGGTCACTTTACTTGTTTCCACACTAACATTTCCCCCTGGCTTTGGACAGTTTATGGCTGGCAAGGTAGGTTCTGCACACCCACACAACACATGCTGTTATTTCTTTTTACGCACACGGCACTGCAGCCATTACTGTAAATCAAAAATATGAAAGACCGCCTGTGGCACCATGGGCCTTTACCTGTTGACCCAATATATATCTGTTGTGTATTTGGTCTCCAGCGACACAAAATGTCTCTAACCCTTAATTTAACACATCAAATGAACTCACCCAACATTCTGAATGTCTTCACTTAGTACACTTAAAATGAAATCAAAACTACATCAGCACCTCTGTGCTTTATATTTTCTACATGATGTACTGTGTTGGTTGTGGCCTATATGCAGCTATACAGAGCTGCTGTGTAACTGAACCATTTTAGATCAATATATTGTTTCATAACAACTGGATTACCATACATGTCTGTTGTGTGTGTTTGTGTGTGTCATCTGTGTACACTGGAGGCTTGGATGAGCATACAGTCCTTTTGCACCTGGGATGACTCATAGGTGTCTAATTATCAGAATTAGAATAGGAATATTCTTTGCATCCTCAGGCCTTATACACACATACAGTGTAACACTGACCCACTCCTCTTAAATCCCTTCTCCGGAGAGAGCACACTTAACGTTCAGTATCTCAAATCCTCGCAAGTCTTGCTCTCATACTCCTCCGTCATGTTTTCTTCTTTTGTTCGTCTCTCTTCCCTTTGTTATTTCCTTCCACCACTGTCATACATTTGAAATGTGGTGTGATGTTTATTAGCAATTAAGTTGCAATGCTGCTCACTTGGGTGACGTTTAAGTAAGGAGAAATGAGTGCAAGGCTTGGAAACACATGTTGCATTGATTTATATTCAGAGGACTGAACATGCAATTTAGTGTTGTTGTGAGAAGTGAGCCAAAGGCAGGTTTCATAAATGGTGGGGGGGTACTATGAAGTAAAACAAACCATGAAAAGAATAACACAAAAACAGATATAGAAATGCTACGTAAATGTTGCTATATTTGATGCAGTAACACTGTAAAGATAATGTTTGATAATGCTTAATTTTAGTGCCGGGGTCAAGGTCACTTTTAGAGAATCAATAAATCGACAATAAATCATCCTTTAATGGAAATTCATAAGAAAAAGAAAGAAACAAAAACAAAAACAATCCACCTATGTTTGCTGACGATGTCACTTCCTGTGGCCTTTAGCTGACCCAGAAGGAGTCTCTGGTGACATTGCTGGACAACCGGACGTGGGCCAAACAGGGCATCGCTGAGGAGTTTGACTACATCGGACACTCTCAGGCCTGGAAACACCCACAGGTCAACGTCTTCATCACCCTGGTCCTCTTCATCGTCATGAAGGTAGGAGAGAAAACCTATGAAAAGATACTGGGGGTTTGATAGATCATTGTAGTTAACGTATGTCAGTGAATACAGTGAATATTGTAGTCACTCTTCATCTTCCACATCATTATATTCCCTCTGGTCATTTCCTTTTTTATTTTCATCGCCATTGGTTGCTATTCCATCACTTCCCTTCTGTATTGTAGAATGTGAATTCTGAACTCTTGTCTCATGCTCATCTTTTGATCTTAAACCCAAATGTCTTCAGTGAACAACAAAAACAAAGGAATTTGCCTTACTGTTCCAATACTTTTGGAGGGGACTGTATAGTGGTGTTAAAGATAAAGGAAGGTCATGAGGACAGTATTTTAAATGGGACAGTTTGGGTCTTTTTATTCAATACTTGCCCTGGGTTAATGGAAAAGTATTCGAACAGAGCTCCTCTCCTCTTGTCCCTGGAAAAGAACAAGTTAGAAAAATGTTGTAAAGCGGCCTCATTGTGTTACAAAGTTATGTTCCCGGGAGGCCGTTTAAAGTTTCATCCCACTATGATGTAATATCGCTGAGTGAAAGAGCTGATGGCATCCATGTAAATATACAGTATAGATGTATAAATGAACAGAACATATCTTCAGACTTCATCCTAGGTCATGTGGATGAAAGGGTCAATAAAGGGAATAGCATCCAGCATACCATCCTAAGTAAGGTATGGGTTGCCTTAGCATTTTGGATCCGATCTCCGGTCTGCAACATACCTCAGTTCTTAAGCTGACTGATCTCTTAGCGAATCTTTTTCTAAATTCTCTTCTCGCTCTTCATTAACGAAGAGCTGAAAACAATCAGGTTGCAGCCTCTCGTTTTTAGTCTCAGCCGACAGTTGCTTTTGCCGGTCAAAATAACAAATATCACCAGCGGCAGATTATGTCAGCTGTTGCTAATTAACAGTAATTCTAGCAACAGCTGTTGTCTTGTGAATGTGCTCTCTGCAAGCTGGTGCCTGTACTTGGCCAAAGACTGTTTGTGAGGGAAAAGACTCTAATATATCGTAGTGTGTTTGTGTAGTTTAATGAGACTAAGTGGTTATTGTAAGCATATAACACTAATAGTTCTGTATTGGACATCTCCAGTATTTGGAACAAGTAGCTAATGAAACCTCATGTATAAAAGTACGTAAACTAACCCTGGTATTTTAAATGTTTCAGATACATATTTAATCAACATTTTATATCTTCTGTGGCTCATCTGATTTTCGTCTCAACCAAAAAAAACAGATCTTAGAGTTTTAGATATTCATAACTTAAGTTACTTGTGAATGTTTAAAGCAAAACCTAATTAGAGTCGATGAAGGATTTGAAAGGATTCCGATTTGATAAAATTCTACTTTTATTTTTTACCACATGTTTTGTTTACAAACTAGACCATAGAAAATAGAGCATAGCCCATTTACTTCCACCTGCATAAGGGAAAGATCTCAAGATGTAAAATGAAAACAAGCCTAGTTCCTCTTGAAGATGCAAAAATGAATTCACATGAAAATAACGAGGCGAGCAGAAGCGGTGCAGTCAGAGTAATAACAGGGGAAACAGCATAGCAAAGCTTAGGTTGCAACACACTATCTTTTCAAAATACAGTAAGAATTGGATCTAGTTGATCTGACTTGCACAAAGCTGGACAGGTGTATAACAGCCACTTTGCTATGGTTTCAATATAACAAGATAATTACCCCAGAGTATCCCACAGGGTTAATCACACAGGTGACAGGTGCAGAGGCAAGGACGCTGCCAAATGTGAGACACAAGAGAGCACATACCTCAGGGCCTACGTCATGGCTGTTCAAACCTCTGAAACTGTTTTAATAAAAATAATAATTTTGAAAGGTCGGGAATGTCAGTAAATTGGAGGTCAATTAGACAGCAAAAGACTTCTCTTTGCCGTCTAATCTTTGGATCACAGCAGAGTTCATTTTTCCTGAGGTGAAGCAAGTTAAGGTGTGAGGGGAAGGTGGATGTGCAGCGAGCCTATCAGTTTCTGGCTTAACTCCCCTGGGTCTTAGTGATGGCAAAAAAACAACTAGTGTGATATAAAGTCTTGGAACCAAGCCACTGCACTATTGGCCTCAGTGCAAAAAAACCCCAAGCTGAATAGTTAATATATATTCATTTTCAGAAAATGCCAGAGTCCCACCACCCATCCTCCTGTTTCTCTTTTGTCCTCAGTAACGAGAGAAGGCCAAATAGAAGTTTGGGAGCCCAGTTGAACTCTGTGCCCTGCCTGCCAGCCTGCATGCTACAGTCACAGCTGCTGTTTAAGGGCTGCTGGAGGAGAGTGCGGCTTGTGTTGCGATTAGTTTGGATTTTTTTTATGTAACCTTTATTTGTTTGGCCTGCTCTGTTCAGCTGAAATGAAATGTCCTCTCCGAATACAAAAAAGCAAGAGGTTGTAAATCTCCCCTCGCTGCGTCAAGAGCCGCGCGCGCGCGCGTGTGTGTGTGTGCGCTGTGAACTTCATACAAGTGAAGCACACAAAGAGAGCCCTGCGAAAGTGCGAGTGGGTGCAGGATGGAGCTGGGTTATGTGGTTATGTATGCTTGAGTGTGTGGACATGGGCAGCTTGCTGCAGGCAGGGTTAGAGAAAGCATTTTGAAATTTGGTTTTCTAAACTATAGCTACTACTGTACTTGACATTAAAACAAGTGTATTTACAGCAGAGCTACAGTAATGAAATGTGGTTTTGTCAACCACAAAAATTCCTAATTTGACTTCTGTTGTGCAATTTGGTGGCTATGTGAAAATGATTATTCCAAGATAATAAAGTGAAACGAGAACACTGGACCCTGGCCTGAAACTCCGGTTCAAAGATATATATATATATAATTTGAATCACCCACCTGCTCAAATCTCATCGAGCTGTCTGTGGGTGTGCACTGACTCATGTCCCCTCTCTTGCTCTCGCTCTCATTCGCGCACACACACACACACACACACACAGACACACACACATCATTCAAAGCGAGGATGTAATGGCTCTGTCTAATTACAGCCTTTGGTTTTCCTGGATTCAGCCTGGTGATTTTCAAAGGGGAGATTGCTCTCTCGCTCTCCCTCTCGGTAATGAATGGTTCTTTTATTCGACATGGCAGCCATCTTGTCTTGTTGCTCCTTTTCATCCCGAAATGTCTGGAAGGCTCTCAATCCAGCTGCTAAACTTTTGAAAGTTAAGGTGTGTGGAAAGTGTCTCGTCTCAGGAAGTCGATGTTGGCGGATCAGCAAATGAAGCTGCTACAAATACTTTAATTATATGTGTTTAGGTACAGTACAAAGTGGACAACAAAGAACGTGTCCTTAGTGAAAAGGCTGAAATGTTGCCTGCTGTTTCACTGTTCACTGCACCTGTTGTGAAGAAGATGAGTGTTAGCTGGGGTATTGCTGAGAAGGTTTTTGTGTATTTGTAACTTTTCAGCACACCTGAAAACACTCGCACACACCTTTTCTCTCACACATACACCTGCAAACTAATTTGGCAAGCTTTGTAGTTAAATGCTATTTTTAGTGGGTGTGCAATTATGCACATCAACAGCTTTCAGTGAGGAGTGCGTTTATTGATACAGGTGTGTGTGTGTGTGTGTGTGTGTGTGTGTGTGTGTGTCCTACAGCCTGACTGAGCCCTCTGTCTGTCAGTGAGTGTGTGTGTGTGTGTGTGTGTGGGGGGGGGGGGGTATGCGTCAGAGTGACAAAGAGGATGGCAGGACTGTAATTGGAGTGGGAATAGAAGAGGGGCCCCTAAGGGTCCCATGAGGCCCCCAGGCGATAGACCGTCCTCTGAATGTGACACACACACACAGACACAAGCGTGGAGGGCTCCCAGATGACTGACAAATTAAATAGAGTATAAATGTCCTGGATACTGCGTCATAACTGATACCCTTGACCTGAGTATCCCTCACTCCTCCCTTCTCCCTCACTTCTATTCTTCTGCTTTTGTTTTCTCTCTTTTAGTCCTTTTTGTCCTAGTGTTCACCACAGTCGCCAGCCTAGCCTATTTCTGAAATGTTAAAATGTGACAAACAGTAAAACAAGGTGAATTGAGACCCAAGTGGCAGGAAGTGCAGTGGTAGGTGCTGAAAAGGGTTGAGCCGATAAGATTTAGAAGTCTAATACTAATACATTTGTATGAAAGGTACTGATAGATGACTTTTGATGACCTATGGGGCGTGGGCCTGCATTAAGAGTGATACTCCGTATTTGAGGAGTATAAGGTTAAGGTTTGGATGGTGGCCTTTCCAAAACAATCTAGCATAAATCTATCATCTGTCTTATTTATCCAAGTAAGCTAAGGGCTAGGACTGTTTCTTTATGTCATGTCTTCTACATGGATTATCTACTGGTGGGGATGCTGACTTTTGTCAGTGAATTATGATGGTAAATGTGCCATCGTTATTATTGTACTGCACATATGCTGTGCGACAACGGAAGGTTTATCAGGTATTAAAGGAGGTGGGGCTTAGGAAATCATCATATTATTCTTAGTTCCCAGCTTCTGGCCTAATATTCTCCACTGAGGGCCATGATTAAACAAATGATAAAACATGTTCATGTATCATTAGAATCTAATAATATTACATTCAGGTTAGGTAATCAGTGGAGTACTGATCAATTATATGATAAATTTGCAATTAATCTAACTGCACCATATCAATTGGTTGTCTGTTTGCTTTCATGAAAGGCCAATATTCACCTGAACTAAACCTGCAGCTCTAGGTCTGCCACTATGTTTTATTCCTTAAGTGTTCAGTAATACAGCAGCCCGTGGCTTTACATATTAAAATTCAGCAGAAATTGCGACGAAAGATAAATGCATTCAGCTGAACAAATTACACAGAAATATCCTAATGCCAAGGTTATCACCACTTGGCCATTAAGGTCTTCTAACCTACTGGCTGTTCGCTCTCGACTGGAAACTAAAGTGGTGGCTCCGTCAGTGTGGAATGCTTCTCACCTTAGACTTACGTTCTGCAGTCT